AGCTAATTTCGGGTCAGGGGGAGGCAAGATGTCGATCATTGTGTAGACGTTCGATGGCCAACAAAAAACTTCGATTTCTATAACTTCTCTAAACTTCGCTTGTGCCAAACGCTCAGTGCAGCGATATCATTGATGGAGAGTTTCGTTATCGACTGTACGTAGAAAATGATTGTTTTTTGGTGACTGTTTTTTAGGATTACTGAAGAACGGCCGACGGGGATGCTTTCATATTAAAGTCCTTCTTTTCACCTCACACCACCTCATAGCTGATAACCGGTGGCATTAGTCTGTTGTCGCCTTCATCATAAAGTACCAAACCTTTCCAGTTTGCTTTTTTGCCCGTTTGCCAAATAAGCGATGGTAGCCGAGTCGTCAGCCTCATCTGGCACTTCGTGCAATAACACCATTAAATAACATCCCTCAGTAAAAATTTGCTCCTCACATCAACACGCATTCCTAAACTGCAAGATGAAAGTTTATTTACCATTTACAGAGTTAGCCAGTTAGTGTAAATATTCCCTTTTACTTTCCGGCGGCGGATGCTGATTCTTCACACAATGCCACAAATATTCCCTATCCTGATCCAGCGTTTAATGTTTGGCAGATGATAACTTGAGTCTTAACATAGTCAATCCACACAGTTGCCTCAGAGGTTATTCTTAGCCATCTCCCATGTTTTTGGTCGGTGGTTGAGTAAATATTAATTATTTCACCTTTCTTTCCAATGGCGTTTGCAAGACGTGCCCAAGCCATGGAGAACTAGAGGCTGGACATCAGCGCTCTCTCGGATATTTTAACTTTTGACCATGTCAAAACGCGCGAGGTCAGTGATTTGTCGCAGAAAGCCCATTTCAGCCGTTTGTATCTGGGATAGAAGTTTTTCATTTATAGCCTACGATTCATAACCGTAGATGAGCATAGGAATAAAAATCGACTTGAATTAATTTTCAGACTCATTTAATGCTTTAGCACAAGGAATCAGCCTTCGTCTTGGCCACCGCATTCTTTGCTGTTCTGCATACTTCTTCGTTTATTTGTTTTGTATAATTTTTGAGTTATAAAATTAATTTTGTCAGTTGATCAGTTGAGGTTGATCCATTCTTGTTATCATTGTTCCCTGAGGAACTTCATAAGCATGGGGATGGGATAAAAATGACCTCACCAGAAACTCCGCGTGTCTAACTTATGTGTATTTGTGTATATTCAACCTACTATGCTTTGTTTAAGTATTTAAGCTCCATAACAATTTTCTGTTTGTTCCTGACCTAGTTATGAATATATGTGCTCATCGCCTGTCTCATGTCCTTTTTCTACTACTTTAGTATCTAGCATATCAGTATTTTATTGAATGACGTATTAGAGAAAATTTTAGTGAAATCGCTTATTTTAAATTAGATTTCTTAAGTAGTTTACAGGTGATTTACCAGTGTGTAACCGTTGTTCAGTCCGGAGAAAAACATCCGCCACAGTCTGTCGATCTACCAGCTTAATTCATCACAAGTGGCGTGTTTACCCCGTCCTTCCATTTTTGGTCATGAGCCTTATTTTGTACGAGGTATCAAGTTCGTAACTTTAACATGAGTTGATGACTGAAAAGATGTGTTTGGGATTAGCAGATTTCCTTCTTAGTAAGGGGCTAAATTTTACCAATAATGATGTCTTCTTTGTTTCGTTAGTCGACTCGGTGGTCAGAAGCTAGCTGTAGATTCTTCGGCAGTATCCCCTACGCCGACCTAAATATTTCCTGATTTATCAATGGGTTAGGATTTCTTGGCAGAACAGTTCATAATGAAAAACGTGTTCTCTCTAGCAGCAGCAGTGAGGGTCATACTTTAATGTGCTGATTACCATATTAAATATGCAGCTATCAAATCGGTCTCTACGGACTGTTTCCTGAGGCGCTAACACCAGACAGCATAGTCATGCGTCATACCAGAACAGCGTGCTGCTCCTGTTGTTCGCAGCTCAATAATTTGCCACTCGTTTTTCGGTTGATTGCTCCGAAGCCAGCGTACGATAAGTTCCCGTTCCTTGCTCAAGGGATTCGTAATTAAGTCAAATATTGTCCCTGTTATGTAATCAGTCTAGCACTTTTAAGAATAGTTTCCGCGGCAACGCGGTACTAAACTAAATATCATAATTTGTTTTAGATGCATATTCAGTTATTATTTATTAATTCACTACAGCATATGGAATATGCACGCAACAACTACTCTACTCTAGGACAAGATGCACAAAGAACTTCCATCTGCTGATAGTCAGCTATGGGGGATACTTTTTAGGTCTTTCGATTAAGTGACCATTTCTCGGCATACTTTCTTTGATAGCCAAAATATCAAACCTTTAGCTGATTTTTTGATATGTTTTTCACAGTTGTCTCAGGTCTTGTGATAGTACAGTTGGAATCACCAGTCGATGATGATTATCGTATCAAAACATGATAGACTCTAAGTGTGGCATCTACATGGTCAAGGCATGTTGAGAGCTGGCTCGATGGAACATCTGACCGAAGTGTGTGTGTGTGTGTGCGCGCGCGCGCGTGTGTGTGTGTGTGTCCAAGAGCATCCATCTTATCGTATTTTCATTTGAGTTTTACGCCGGAAGCGGTTGTTTCTGATCTTAATGCGACGCTAGCAAATTGGTATGATGGCTTAATTTTACCTTTTTTGTTGCTTCCACAAAAGACATTTCTTAAAGGTCTAACTGAAGGACGTCTTTTCTTCTGTTAAGCTTCCGGATGGTTACTTCCAAGACCCGATTCCCATACGAGAATTTGGTGAACCAGCGATGTTACTCCTGTTTTATTGTTCAGTCCAGCTACTCCATTCTTCCTGCAGCGTCAGTTCATCATCTCGTAAGTCAGTCTCAGACAGTGCTTCTTTTTTTGTCCTTGGACAGTACAAAAGAGTCTGTAAAAGGCTCTACGAAGACCCTTGTTAAGAAGCATTTAGAAAGTAGTCTACGTTGTGTCTGTAGTCCATGGAAAAGTGGAGGTTGATTCTAACTTGTTCAGTAGAATCGCATGACTGTTGATGCAAAAGAGGTTCTTGAGGTTCATTTCTTCCTATTTACGCTGATCAGTGAAGACTGATACTCTACAGGCTATTGATTAAAAGTCGCCCATGGCGTCGGTAGAGGTAAATGTAGCGCTAGTCGAAGAAAAGAAGAAGGCAGACGACGTGACGCGAAGATGCTTGTGTCGCTTGTTTGTTTCGTCGAGGCGCCCGTGGTCCAGAACACCATCGGCTATTTGATCGATGACCACCGCGAACACACGGTCGATGATGGCAACGGCACGTTGGCCGGCCTACGTCGATGACAGGCAATCACTTCTTTTGCCTCTGTCGCCGTTACACGAGAGGCATAGCGGCAGACTTTCCGAAATTTTTTTTTCGTTTTTCCGGTCCTTTCGCGAACAACGTATTCCGTTTCGTTTCAGTCCGATCGCTTGGCGGTTGGCGATAGATGCGTTGGGCAGCCGACTGTCCAGCAATTAGTGTCCCCGTCATGTATTAGAAACGAACGGCTTGGTCGACGTGAATGAAGGGGTCATTTTGGACGAGGCTTCGGAAAAAAGCGACTCACTTCGCAATGAGTCTCAGTGATCGGATGCTATGTACTTCGAATGGAACTTGCTGCTTATGGATATATGGTAGACCAAGGACGAGATCTGCAATCAGATGTTGACCATAGTGCTCTCTTGAGCTCCTGCCTATTCACGACCAACTACAACCGTCTGTACCTATAGGGTGTACATAATCGGTTTTAATCATCTCTCAGCTACCCTCTTTCTTCTTATATTTACGATATTTTGGAAAAACAGAAAGAGTATCGAGTCATCTTGAAATATTACTGTTGACAAAGATGTGCGATGCATCCATTCACTGCAATTAATCGGATGCCATGAACCCATCCAATGTATCCACAGTAATAAAAATAGAATTTATACTTGGTGATATGGTTGCTAATCGATAACAGCGCAATAATTATCAACAAATCAATGTATAGTAAATACAGCGTCAGAAGGGAACAAGAACTCATTCAAGCATGTGCAATCTGTTGTTGTTTCAAGGTTCTGTTATGATTAGCTGTAACGAATGTGTTAGACAGCGTTATAGTGAGTATCTCTGCATGCAGTTATCACTGGTAATGCAATGGGAGACTACTTTAATGTTAGTACCTGTCTGTGGAATATTGTCTTCAAAAGGTACCGTAATTCTGAAATGTGCGATCAGCTGCATGGAAGCGACGAAACAATAGTTTGTTGCCGTTGATTTTGATTCATCTGTTCGCTTCGA